CGTTGACCTTTGTATTTCGAAATGGTATAAAACTGACCCTCTCCGGAACTCTTAAGGAGGGGTTTACAAAGATAATTGACAACAAACAACGAAGAAAGTATCATAAATTTCAAGGAAAGAATATATACACCACAGAGCGATTGAACGGAAACCGAAAAAATTTTCGAACGCATTTACCTTTCCTGGGCAAGCGAGCAAGCATAGTTCCTGAAACTATAGTTTCGAAAAAGAGAATTGGACAAGACATTAGGAAAGTAAAGGACAAAAACAAAAGTAGTAAGAATACAACGTTGAAGACATTGATTTAGATGGCAAGGTAAATCAAGGTTATACATGATCCATTGGGCGAGATCGAAGGTACGTAGTGCAGTAGCGCGACTGCGCCAATCATTTAGAGCGATGCCAAATCTTCCACAGAGCAAATCAAATCTCGTGCGACCGCGTCGATCCACTACTTAGCGTCAGCTCCCAGGCGGATCTGAAGCTTCATCCATAGCTGACGTTTGTAGCCATAGCTTGCGACGGCTTCTAGACATAAGGTGCGTATTGTCCGCATACGCCGACGCGAATGTGACCGGCCATAACTGACAACGCCGCTGCGGCCGGCTTCCTTCGCCGGCGTCAGAGGAAATTGACGCTGCTAGAAGTTCTTTGGTTAGACTTCTTTTGGCGCCAAGCGGTGATTCTGGTGCGCTTTTGCAACCTTTGCAATCGACAGTTTTTTTCTTTCGCTTAATAAATGATTTAAAGAAAGGATTGACGAATTTTGATACTAGTCAGGAAATTGTGGTAATTAAAATAGGTTTCACGAAGACAATTGTGGAAATTATCATATCATGAATGATTATATAATCCGTTGAGGTAGGAGAATATATAACAAATCAAAAGAATACAGAATATAAATGTATCCCTCTAATACTGTGTGACCTTATACTGCGATACCTCTTCATCAACTACGACTGCGTGAAGCAAGCCTCTAGCATCACTATTAACTATTGGGTCAAACTTACACTTGTTAATTCAAACGTCCACTTATCAACCTTTTGTTCGTTAGTGTGTTTGTAGTTTCAAGGCAGGAACAATTTCGTGATATTGATAATATTTGTTACAAAATTCTTTTATGTGTAAGTTCGGATCACTGTGTTTCTAAAAAAAAATTTCTCAATATGTACTCAACACTTGGGTGTGGGTTTTCGAGTCAAACTCGTATCCAGAATGTACCCATCGACGCCTCTTGACACCAGAAGAAATCGGGGGACCAGCAAACGCTCATGTCTGCCATACCTCTCATCGTCAGCTAGGATGGAGCCTAAGGGAAGCCAGAAAGCCAATAAAGTGGTACGGCTGCGGATCATACTTGCGGCAGATATCGGCAGCGACACGATACTACCGTGGTAGCAATCAGCTATAAGCTCCAGGTTGATCTGTCCCGCAACCGCGCCGTTGCAGTGGTTCTCCTGGCTACGCATAAGTCAGTCTAAAAGCCCACAATACCTTCGACCTCGTCCAGCGAATTGTGGAGAGCTGACGAAGAATAAATCCCAATCCTTCTATGTAGGGAGAGCCCAGGCTCATGTTGCTCTTTGTCGTAGCAATGTCGCATTAATTTCTGCACAAGATGCATAGGGTGGCCTGGTTGAAGAAGTGGGCTGCCTGTAGGACGTCGACGTTGGAATCACGCGCGCCTTGAGCTTAGTTAGGTGAGCGGGCCGCCCACTTTATTGTTAGAGACGCAGCCGGCGCTCATCCGATATGGTTAACTTAGTCAGTAATCACCCTACTTAC